TAATAATTAATGGGTCCACGGGACCTTATACATTTTTGACCCGTCCATTTTTTACCCGTTCTAAATGGGTTGAATATGGGGTTTAGATCCATGTTTGACCCACCCATTTTCAACCCAACCCAAACCCGGCCCAACCCGCCCATTTGCCACCCTTACTCCACCATTATCACCACCTCCACCAATACCACCACCACCTAATTCCATTATCGCCCTTGCCACTGCCGCCACCACCTTCCACCACAACCGCCGCCACTAAATTTCACCATTGCCACCTCCTTCCACCATCTCCACTACCACCACCATTGTCACCTCACTACCTTCCACCACCGCCGCTGCCACTACAATCCATACAGAAACCCGATACGCAGATACATCCTAGATAGCTCAACAATAACTAAAGTAGTCTATATATGTATAAGTACACACTAGCTCAATAGGTCTGTCTCAGCCTGAGTAGAGATACTATGCAAATCGCACATAATGTGTTTATGTGTACCTAGACCTATTAGGAAACAACAACTATATCCAGTTATCCGTCCTATGTGATATACGCACCCTAACCATGATCCTGAGATTCAAACTCATATCATGACACCATAATCATAAATATATAAAGTCTGTATAAGCCTAATACAAAATATCATCCATCTGGTATAGTGGCTTGACATATGTATAAAAGTCCATCTAGAAACCAAAGTATGTCATTCAATTGTTTGTTGACCTGACACCAATATGAGTAGGACTTAACCTTTATGGTTAATCTATACCTCAATCCAGATTAGGTAGGACTTCGTATTTGAACTAATCCATCCCTAGTATGCTACCGTTCCATACCGGTGCATACAATCCTCTAAACAGCATAATTGATAAAACAGTAATAAGTATTCATCAACCATTCTCCAAGATATGCATAAATAAAGTTTAATACATATATGACCATATTAGGCATTCATTATAAGACCTAAAAATCATGTTCCAATCGTTTAAATTGCTAAAATAAAACTAAGTATTTAAATCCTCCTAACAGTCTATAAATTGATACAGTTTACAACAAATTAAATATCAATTTAATTCAATCCAAGCTTAGTTAATTACAGATAATCCACTACACTTATAATATGGTTGAAATATGATTAAATATTATTAAATCATATACAAAAGATTTGCTAAGTTTCAGTAAGTAAATTAATTAACAAAACAGTATGCAACATATAGGTTTTTCCTTAAATTCATGTTGCTCTATTCCTTAATCCATCAATGAAATAATGCTTCCCAATATTTTTATAGGTCCATAGCAATTATTTACAACATTTAATGCAATTTAAACGGCTTAAGAATACCCTGTACAGCCCAAACAAAGCCTTAAAAACAGTTACTGCGCGTTTCAGGGCGAGAACAGGCTCTCACAAGTTTAGAGCCTGCTCCCAACACATGGGAGCCGGCTCCCAAGGGTGGGGAGCCGGCTCTAAGGAACTGGGAGCCGGCTTCCTCCATGTGGGAGCAGGCTCTTGCCTTGAGGGAGCTGGCTCTCTGTCCTTTAAAAGCCGTCGTCCGATTTTCCTTCGTCTTCTTCGCCTCCGGCGATGTTCAGAGTCTCTGTAATGTTTTTATTACTTGTTCTAGGGTTCAATAAACATCCCAAATTAATTATAAAACATTGTTATGCATCAACAACATAAGTTAAACAAAGCTTTAAACCAACGGCAGCAAGATTCCTTTAGAAACTTCAATAAACCCTAACCCAGTTTAATTCAAAGCATTTAAATACAGTTCAAATATGCATAAAAGATATGTTTTAACATTAATTTAAACCCTAGAGTCTACCTAGGCATGCACATAACACAGGTTTAAGGGAAGGGGTTAGAATAGAGACTTGTCTTCAGTTTCAATTTTGAAACTCTAAACCACCGTCTCTGAATTTTTCGACAACTTCCCAGACTGCTGTTCTACACCTCCGTTGCTCTTGGTTCAACCCAAAAGCAATCCGTTCTTCCTCCTTGAACCTCTCTGTTAATCTCTCAAGTCCCTCTTTCTATTTCTCCTTGCCTCTCACTACGTGAATATGGTTTGTTTGTAACTCTATATAGACGTATAATGTTGTATTTATAGGTTTCACTACAAACCTAATTCTAATTCTAAACCAACAATAAGTTGGCTAAATCCCACACGCAATTAATTAAAAGAAAAATAAAACCCTACAACTAATATACATAAAACCAAATCACGGAATATAACATTTAATCAAAAACAATTATTTATTTAAATCACCGCATAAGCATAATAATAAAAGTAACCAATTCAAATAAATAAAATTTCAATTAAATACAATAACTAAAACAAATAAATAAAATACTTAATTCAATTAAAGAAAATAAAAAGAGATAATACAACTAGGCACATAAGCAAATAATCAAATAAGATGCAATAAATAATAATTAAAAATGCCGAGACAATCTTTTTAAAATTAGGGGTATTACATTCCCCTACCACCACTATCGCCTTCCACCACCACACTACTACCACCGTCGCTGCCTTCCACCATCGCCGCGTTTCAACAACACTACCGCTTTCCACCTCCACTATCATCCAACGCTGCCACCATTTCGTTTAAAAAAAATTATAGAAGAATGTTATTTTGTTAATTTAATTTATTTATCAATAAGAGGGATATTTTAGAGAATTCAATTTTAAATTTAGAATTGAATTCAAATTCATTCAATTCTAAATTTTAAATTTGTTCAACCAAACACTAAAATAGTTATTATCATTCTATTCCAACACATTTCATATTTGTAACCAAACAATAGAATGAGAATGATCATTCCATTCAATTCCCATTTCCATTCTCATTTCATTCCGACTTGCATTTCATTTCAATCTTGCACACTAAATGCAACATAAATGAAGTATACATTCCAATCAAATTCAATCAAAAACAAGGGAAGATGAAACTTTTTTTAAACCAAATACTGGATTCTAAAATTAGGGCTTCTATTATAGCTGTAGATAAGAATGAAATTGGATCCAGATACGTTTATTACCATCTTTGTTTTATTTTTTATTCCATTTATCTTTTTTTTTTTTTTTTTTTTTTTTTTTTTTCTTTAAATTTTTCAACTTATCAGGTCAATATGTATACCCTTGATCTTCAGTTTGACAACCATCAATGAAAGTTTAAAACATTAAAAAGTGTAATGACGGTGAAAGCATCAACAACTGGAGTATGAATATCAATTACTTGTTGCTCTAACGATTATCACTCCATCACTTTAATTTAATTATTAATTTTTTCCCTTTCTCGTTTCTTGTTACTCCTATATTCCAATTCAACTATGAACTATTCATGAATTTTTTAGGATTTAAATATATATATATATATATATATATATTTATTGAGGATAATATTGTCAAGTCAAACTGTGTTAGCAGTTAAAATAACTTCAAAAAATGCACCCACCAAACATCATTCTTGTTTGAATTTCTTTCCATTAAAATGCATTCTGAAAGCTGATTCAGGAAAAAAAAATTTTAGTCTTTTAAAAAAATAAGAACAAATTTAATACTTTAACTATGCTTTAGCATACCTCCAAATGAGTCATTAGAGCATCACAACACAAGCATTTTTGGCTACTGGCGTGCACTGTGGTGAATCAAAATATTTAGTAAAATTATAATACCAAGATCAAATGTTGCACAGGAAAATGCTGTTGGTCCAAATAAACACAAGGGATGATATTTTTACACTTTTCAGTGCCCAAATCCGTACGTTTGCTTGGTGGCTTCCATTCCTTCGTAGAATTGAATGACTACCGCATTTAGTTTTATAATGAATACAAAATATATAAAAAAAAATTGTCACTGATGACGATAATTGATCATTTTTCTAGAAGATGTTGACGGACCAGCTGCCCAGCGATTTTGATGTAACGTAGGCAGATACGAATTCTTTTCATGGTTTTGCCTGGTCAACTATAATTGAACCAGTGTGCAAAATGCTCATTGATGATATCATAAATATATATATTCTCTATTATACTAGTTGGTTGTACAAAAAGATCTTTCCAAACAACTCATTAAGCAATAGACTATTAATTGTCTTCGTACCATTCCGTTGATTCTTTTAATAAGTTATTAATCATTGCTTTTTGATTCGGACATGTATTAAAAAAGTCAAAATATTTTAAATTATCTGTTAATATGGACAAAATCAGAAAAAATTTCTTAAATTATTTTAATATTAAACCTTGGACATATAATAGTTATTCAATAGAATTAAGTCATGAAATAATATCACAAATTTTTAATAGATTATACTTATTATATACTGGTATTATATAAACAGGATGAACTCAAGATCTTGTGTAAGGGGACAAAAGTAATTTTTTTTTTTAGGAGAAATATTAAAATTTCGTAAATATATAATTAAAAAATTTACACTAGGAGTATAGGTCCGTGCCAAACTGCCTATATATATAAATGAGGTGTTTAATGAATAAATTCCACCAATATATATACATATATATAATGTTGATTTATAGATGCAATAGTTAAATATCTTTTTGAGGATATAATATGGTTGTTTTGTTGAAAAGTAAATGCCTCCCCAAGTCATAACCTAGCCAAAGAAGGAAATAAATGACTTTTTACAGGGAATAGAAGTTTCTAACGCCAACCTACACTTTTAACCTAAAATTTCACTCCTTTCTTTCTTTTTCTTTTTGTTTTTTTTTTTTTTTAATGCTTTTGGTTGTCAAGCCTCGTATTTTACATTCCCTCTACAATGTTAATAATTGTATTCGTACATACCCTCTAGTGTACATTAAACTATAACCAAATTTATAAACACTAATGTATATTTTTTAAATCTGAACGAGATCAAACCGTGAAAAAAAGGACCAAATTGATAAGTTTGATTTGATTTATTTGATTTATCTATTCAACCAATTTTTTTTATCCTACCTAACTCTATTATAAAAGATTTGAAAAATTACACATAATACTGAGGAAAGAAAGAAATACAGAAACATCAAAGTGGCAAATAGAAACATGTGAAATCAAAAGGGCAGATTTTGAATTAACAGAAACCTCTAATCAAAATGTGCTAATAGCCGGACCTTCTTTCCCATATTTCATTAATCAAGACTACACATCTTATTTATCCACACCAGTGAAAATATATATTCTCTGCAGATCAGCCATGTTAACCCTCGAGTTTTCAACTTCCTTACTGTTTTGCCTCCTTCCATTACTTCTCTTCTTCTTCATCAAATCCACTTCCATTTTCACAAAATCTTCTTACTCATCCAATTCCGGTAAGCTTCCCAGATCATACCCATTGATCGGTTCTTCCTTGGCAATCTTCGCAAATCGACAGCGCCGAAATCAATGGATTTCGGACGTTCTCAAAAACTCACCCACTTCGACCTTCATCCTCCACCGCCCTCTGGGTTTCCGTCAAGTCTTCACTGCCAACCCCTCCAATGTCCAGCACGTCCTCAAGACCCATTTTCATCAATACCAAAAAGGTAAAATCTTCCGCAGAACTCTATCGGACTTTCTCGGCGACGGCATATTCAACACTGACGGAGACACCTGGAAGTTCCAGAGACAAGTTTCCAGTCACGAGTTCAACACCAAGTCTCTACGTAAATTCGTCGAACACGTAGTGGACGTAGAGCTCTCCGATCGTCTCCTTCCCATCCTCTACGCCGCTGCCAAAAACAGAACCGTGCTCGACCTCCAAGACATTCTTCAGAGATTCGCGTTTGACAATATATGTAAAATCGCATTTGGGTACGACCCTGCTTACTTGTTACCTTCTCTGCCGCAGGCAAAATTCGCAGAAGCTTTCGAAAATGCGGTTCGGATCAGCAGCGAGAGGTTCAATTCAATTCTTCCTCTGATCTGGAAAACCAAAAGACTTCTCGATATCGGATCCGAGAAGCAGCTTCGGATCGCTGTCAATGAAGTACGCGAATTCGCTAAACAGATCATCAAAGAAAAGAAACAAGAACTCACTGTAAAATCAGAACTGGCCTCTGTAGATCTACTATCTAGATTCTTGAGCTCCGGTCATTCGGATGAAAATTTCGTTACAGATATAGTCATCAGCTTCATATTAGCTGGCCGAGACACCACATCGGCGGCTTTAACGTGGTATTTCTGGTTGCTCTCCAGTAACCCAGAGGTTGAAGAGGAAATTCTCAGAGAGATCGGAGAGAAGTCCGATTCGCCGATTTACGACGAAGTGAAGGACATGGTTTACACACACGCTTCGTTGTGTGAGAGCATGAGACTGTACCCGCCGGTCCCCGCCGACGGCAAAGAAGCAATGGACGACGACGTTTTGCCGGATGGGACGGTTGTGAAGAAAGGGATGAGGGTTACTTATCATCCTTATGCAATGGGGATGTTGGAGAGGTTGTGGGGGTCAGACTGGGCGGATTTCCGCCCCGAGAGATGGTTGGAGAAGGAGGCGGTCACCGGGAAATTGAGGTTCGTGGGGAGGGATGCTTACACGTACCCGGTGTTTCAAGCGGGACCCAGGATTTGTCTGGGGAAGGAGATGGCGTTCCTGCAGATGAAGAGGGTGGTTGCTGGTGTTTTGCGGCGGTTTAGGGTGGTGCCGGCGATGGAGGAAGGTCTAGAGCCGGTGTTCATATCGTACTTGACGTCTAAAATGAAAGGTGGTTTTCCGGTGATTATTAAGGAAAGGGATGACAAACTTTAATCTTATTCAAGTCAGTTGTGTTGTTACATGTTGTTGTTGTGTTGTTTGTACTTTTCTCAGTATTCTTTGTATGTTGTTTGTTTGTAATTTGCCATACATGTTATTAAGGTTGGATGATGATTTTAAAGACTAATATAGTTTGAACGTAATGAAGGGCCAAGCAGACAGTATTTATTATTGCCGAATTAAGAGAAATTATTATATAATTTACATTAATTATAATTTGTATTATAAACAAAAATGAAATAAAATTGACATATTTCAATTAAGGTGGACAGACATTTTATAGTATTTTAGTATATGAAAATATTTCATTATCTAGCTGAGTTTACATGAAGTCCAAAGTTGAATCAATGGTACTAAGTGTTAAGAGGTGTCAATTTTTCTATATCGGATCGGATGAAAAAGTGATTGGATATAAATAAGTTAATATGCAGTACTAGTTGCACTACCTAATAATTTGTGTTTTTTGATAAATGGATAAGCGTCTATCAATTACCGTTAATATTAGAGTCAGATCCAATCACGGTTTTTAATCTGATGTTACGCCAAGCGCTCTGTCCGGAAGGCGTTCGGGTGAACCGCCTCAGATAAGTATGGTGGCCCGACCACAACGAGAATGTTGCGAGTTCGGGTGGAAAAGAATGTTAAAAGGAATCATTTGTTTCAGATAAAAAAAAATTGGATATATACTAGTATCAGCACTACCTAATAATTTTTTGAATAAATGATCAATAAATGAAGACATAATGCAACAATAATAGTATCTATGGAATTGAATATTAGGCTGTCTTCTTTTAGTATTGTTCCCTAAAGGACAATGAAAAGGTTTGCTTCCCGCCGTCCCCACTAATATTCTTCTTTATATATATATATATATATATATATATATATATGTGTGTGTGTGTGTGAGAGAGAGAGAGAATTATCTTACAGAGTTCGGATACATCAAATTAAATTTAACAGTAACTTTGTAACTCAAAATAACATTAACGTCATCATATAATAATATTATTTTGAAATTATTAAATTTCTGAATCTATTATTATTATTATAATTAATACACATATAGACATGTTTTTGTAAAGCTGATTATCACAACAAAGACGACAAAGAGAGTTCATAGACTCACAATTCACAAGCGCCAAATGTCCCGAACTTGGATATGTACCTTTGATTCTAAGCCATACTCTATGAAGGAATCTCAACAAAATAATTCATTGTTTGCAATGGCGACATTTTATATATGGTGAGCTATTTGGCCCACATTTTGTGAATATTAGTCGATTTTGTTTCTCATGGAAGTACTTGTAACCTTAACAAAACCACTTCCTATTTGAAGAATAATTGAAGAGTAAGGAGGGAAACAAATAAAAAAAAAAAAGAAGTTGGTTTTTCCTCATTATTCATATATAATTTTGATAAGAACCCATTTATTGAATTATTGAAATAGACAAGTTAGGAAGAATTAGGTTGGAAGAAATTTCCTATCCTCCCTATCCCCCTTCCTTTCGAAATAAGTGCTATTTTGCCGTTTATTATTATTATTTTTATTGAAAACTATAAATTATGATAAATATTTTTTTAATAATAATAAAAAACATCCGAAAACAGAGCCATGCTAACAAGAACTTTAAATTCGGCTTTCGGCTTAGACTTCCTAAACATTGGATACGGGTTGGAATGCTGCTCAAACATTGTACCGTATTTGATTTGACTAACTAATGCAAAAACATATTACTCCGTATTATTATTTTTTTATTCTCCTCCTCTAGGTAAATCACACTCACACACCTTCATTATTTTTATATTAGAGACTTCAACATCAACCTTCTATTTGAAAAAACTAGCCACCTGGACTAAAACCTTGTTAAAAAACACATCACCTTAAATTATACAATATTTATTTATTTTACATCTTATTATATTAGATTATAAAAAGAAATGAAATACTTTGAACTCCACCAACTTAGAATCAAATATTAAGGAGCTTAAGAATAATTTTGGACCAGCTTAGCTTGTGTTGACTCAATCTATTGGGTTAATTAAACCAAGATGTTGGTAAGCCCATTAATCATTTTGTTGGCCAATACAGATAGAGGACAAATACAAAAAAGGGGCGGACCCATATAATTTAGATGGGATCTAGGATAAAACCCATTCCATTTACAAATGATCTAGAATCAAAATTAAAATCCGAGTCCATTAAAATGGATTTGGGATTATGATCGTGTCAACTGCCAATTTAATTTCAAGTCCCAATCTGTGATATCTCTAACCTACCCTTTCCAAACCTCTTATTAGATGACCTTATCCAATGGACTCCTTCACCAACTAAAAAATATTCACTCACACACACTATCCTAGCTATTGAGAACCTATTGGCGCAAATTGGTCTGGTTTAAACAACTTATACCAAAACACTCATTTTGCCTTTGGCTAGCAATACAAGAAAGACCATCAACCCAAGCAAGCCTTCTTTAGACTTCACAATGCAACCAAATGCGTGTGCTTTGTGTCTTAGGACAGCAGAGAGTCATGAACATATTTCATCAATGTTCATACTCGAAAATGATTTGGAATGGTCTCTAGCACAAATGTGGGTTCTAGACAAACCTTAATTCATGGCAGGAGTTCCTGATTTGGGCATCTTCAAATTGGAGACAGAAATTAAAATTCAGCAGAATCCTCCTCACTTTGAAACTTATGCTAACAAGTTATGTATGTCACGTGTGGAGATCAAGAAATAAACAACATAATTTTTCGCAATCAATGCTTACCTCCATTAATGCAATAATCAATTTCGTGAGATTGAGGCTCTTTTCAATAAAATAAAATAAAAGAAAATGTGCTAGTCCGTATGCAGAGGAAATTGACAATGAATGGAAGTTGTCAAGCTCCTTCTATGAACCATGCATTCCACACAAACCCTTTCTTCTCCTTTCCACAATGACCTCAGAAGCCACAACCGCCATTGATAACCTGCCACACCACCTACCCAACCAATGACCTCCTCTCTAAGTATCGTTGATGAGTTCTCGCCCATGTCTATGGGTATGTTAAGGTACTTTCCTGGTTTCCACAATGGGTCTTCATTCTTTGGGCAATGGGGGCGTTTGGGCCTTCTTGTTTTTCTTGTTTTTGTTTCGGGTTGATTTTGATTTTGTATTTTGGCATGTGGGCTCCTGGACCATATTGCTAATTGGGTTTGTTCCAATTATACGTATAAATTCTAATTTTTAAAATTTTATTCTCACTTATTTAATAAAATAAATAAAAAAAGGACAAAGATTTCGAATACCTTGGACGACGGGTTTTAATTACACAATATGGAATAAGCTACTAAACTAAATTAAATAGGGGTAATTAATAGTTGCGTAATAAAGAGTGAAAATATTAATATTTAATTAAAGCAAGCCGATCTCTATATCTCAAGTCAACATCGAACAAAATGGCGGAGTGAAAATCACCTTCAGTAAAATAGTTTGTCATTTATCCATATTTGGGATGCACAATAAAAAAAATATTGGAATGCACGGTGAAAAATATTAAGATGTATCTTACGAAAATATTAAAATACACTTTTACTTACAAAAAAAAAAAAAAATAAATAAATAAATTGACTGTATATAATTGGAGGTGATGCTTGTCCCACCTGATCCGTGTCCGAAACAATTCCTTTCAAGCCCTCAATTTCCACCTCTATAAAGAGACCCATCACGTTGTAAAAAAATTAAAAATAAAATACCCATCACGTATCAGTACTTTTTGTTTTTTTTTTTTTGGGTTAAAATCAGTACTTACTACTTGCCCTCACACAGGCACTGAAATGGTTAAGGATCAGTGGGACCCACTGAAAATTTATTTATTTATATTATTATTTATACTTTTATTAAAATTTTGAAAATGTCTCCTTTTAATTTATAAAAAATTTAAAAATACCTCCTTAATTTGTAAAAATTTCATACTTTACATTCTTGTCCCATTGATTTTTTGTATACAAAAAATAATCATCTTTTTTTCACTCTCTACCGCCCGCCACATTCATGATTTTATCTCACACACTTTGATATTTTCACGTAATTTTTTAAAATACCCACTATATATATTTTTGCGTTTTAAATTTAAAAAAAAATAAAATAAATCGGCTTTCTTATTTCTTTCATGTCTCACATTCATGGTAATATAACCACGAACATGGTTAAAAGATTAAAGAATCTGAGTCAGATAAGTCACAAAAAATTAAAATTTTATATTTATTATTTTGTTTAAAAAAATTATCTTCAATTGTTTTTTTATCCTTCAACAACGCCCTACCTAGTCCATCACTGCCCTCACACCACATTTTAGTTAAGAGTGAGATTGAAGAAGCTTGCCCTGGTAAGCATTATATATATATATATATATATATATATTCATTAAATGCATTGGTTTAATTTTCTTGTAACTAAACTAGCCAATTGATCTGTGGTACGTTGTGTATTTTGTTTTATATAGGAGTAGGAAAGAGCTGGTGGCGGGAGCTTGTAGGAATCAATGGAGATCGAGGTGGCGGGGAATCATAGTGAGAGAGAATCCAAAAGTTCATCATGCTATTATTGTGAAACAAGGAATGAATGATGGTTACAATGGACTTTCGTTGTGACAGGGTTCGAGTTTGGATCGACAACTATGGATTTGTAAAACAGCTGCCTCAAATTGGTTAATCACCACGTTGTAGCGTACCAGCAACAATTTGGTTCAAGACCCATAAGTACTATATATATATATATATATATATATATATATATATATGCTTATGAATAAAATACGAATTGTAGGCTCCGTTTGTTTGGACGTAAAATATTTTTCAAATATATATATATATTTTTATTTTCTGGTAAAATATTTACGAAGAAAAAAATTATTAAAATTTTACATAAATAATTTATTCGTCGACAAGTTATTTTACATGCTCCGCCTGATAGACTCGACATCAACCTCGACGTAAACCTTTGCCAAATACCGACTATTGAAGCTGAAATTTGCGCAGTCCGATACGATACCGTTTTTCTGCAAGGAAGAGAGGAGAAGACCGATGAACGTTGACGGCACCGGTGTGGTGCCTGCCAAGAGCTCTCCGACAATCAAATT